CCGAGCCCGTCGGGACCACGTCCAAACACGCCAAAAAGTCCCATAAATTAACACGGACTTACTCGAGGCCTCATAACACACATAACAACATCAAAACGACGAATCACACCTCAATCCAAAAATCAATGAACTTGAAACTTCAAACGACCGATGCCGAAACCCATCAAATCATGACCGATTGGCCTCAAATTTTGCACACAAGTCACATTTGACAATACGGGCCTTCTCCAACTTCAAAATTAAAATCTGACCCCGATATCAAAAACTCCACTCTCGGGCAAACTTTCAAAAAAATCTAACTTTAGCCATTTCGAGCCAAATTCAACTACTGGCTTCCAAATCATAATCTGGACACGCTCCTAAGTCCAAAATCATCCAACGGAGATAACGGAACCATCAAAATTCCAATCTTAGGTCAAATACTAAAAAGTCAAACTCGGTCAACTCTTTCAAATTTAAAGCTCCCTAGTTGAGAATCATGCTTCCAAATCAGTCCCGAATAACCTGAAAACCAAAGCCGACAATTCACATAAGTCAAAATACATCATATGGAGCTACTCATGCCCGTAAACTACCGATGAAGTGCAAATTCTCAAAACGTCCAGTCGGGTCGTTACATCCTCCACCACTTAACAATACGTTCATCCTCGAACATGCGAGAGAGTCGTTCCAAAGCTAACAAGTCATGGTGTAACCTTACTAAGCACAAACCCGGGGTGATTCCACATCACCCTACTCCATATAAGCCCGCCAACACAACATAACTAGAGATCCTTATTTGATCCTTGGTCCTTAAACCTTAGAACCGAATCTCTATCATCCAGAATTCATTAAGAGACCGGAATCCCTCATCTGCACATTGTATAAGCCTGAAAAAGTTGTATCAAGTTATAACCATAACCCAAGATGTAATCACATGATATACCCATTACTTTGGCACTCACAGCAGGACCTGATGACCACCATTACTGCCCAAAAACAAATCTGGTGCCGGTAGCAACCTCCTATCGGTTAGAACCTCGTTCAAAACCTCCACACCCTACCGATGATGAAAGAAACACGCATAACCGCTTAACCACTCATCTGATCAATAAGCCAAGAAACTCACTCGCCCAACCAGGGCCATTGTCCAAATCCTCAACAACATATAGTGTTATTCTTCCAAACCTTCCTCATCCCAATAAAATAGCGCAAATCTCAAGTCTATAAACCTCATCTCAGCCAATACAAGCAGCCCCACCGACAAGTGCCAAAAATAATCATATGGATCCCCACGCAACCTAGTTCCGTGCACCAACAATTAATAATTTAGACATGACAGATAATAGTAAGAAAACTAAATAAAAAGACTACTAAGCAAGTTAAGCAGGCAGGGAAACTTTATCATTTTACTATGAACTATTTTGAACAAAGTGAAAGCAAAATACACGAAATAGGAATAAAGAGTCACATTTCATCACTGTACCGTTGCGGCGTGCAACCCGATTCCATCACATCAATCCACATAGGGTACCCATCGATCCATAATAGTCTGACTCACTGATCACATTGCGTCAATATCAAGCACAACCGAGTGCACAAAAATATAACTGTGGGAAAAAATATTAGGAACAAATAATACTAAGAATGACAAGCACAGCTATGGTAGAACAAGCAAATCAACATCACGAATGTCACCTTGCCCATAATGCCATGAGTCCTAAACTGAATCACAATATGTGTGCGAAGAATCATGTAACCCTCACATCCCGCCATAGTATAAGGGAGAAACATATAACATAAACCAAGGTGCGAATAACATCCATTACACCCGATGATATACATATGATAACAACTGCGCAAGAACAAATAGGTCCGATCAGATAGAAAATACACATTCTCATTAGGCTCAAAAGCAACCCCCAAACCAATTTCCGATCATCCCCCAAACATGGAATTAACCTTCCAAAAGTCCATAGAAACCTTTCTATAACACCTGCTATCCATCATACAATCCATGACATTTCTTCAGAACTCGCAATCAAGGAATAGTCTGGCAACGAGAACATCCAGTCTCTAAGGCTTACGAATACTATAATCTTCATATCCAATCTCAACACCGCTAGTCAAACGGCTGACACGTAACTCATACTCCCTCACATCTCAAAAAGAATACTTATAAGTCAAAACATAATATACCTGCCAACCGGCGAACTCTCCTCTGGTGGGAACATATAGTGCTAGCAAGAACTTAAACACCCGAAATTGATCGTGTCATCATGAACTCATATCCCTCCTTCCAAAACTATCTGTATCCTTGTACATGCAACTTTTCAACTCCACAAGGTGCATCGCCTCTAACATGCTAACTCGCAACACTATGAGAATCTCATAGTCAACTCTGAACCATAAGCAAATTGAAAACCACATCACCCGAGAATCTTTCATTTAACTCAATCCGGGAGAACACCACCACATGCAATATAGCTTCTATACCTGTAGAAAACATCAACTCCGGCCGTGGTCATAACCATGATAAATTCTCCGAAACTCAATAACACCTAATCGAGTAATCAGAACCAATCGCCTCTAACTCAATCGAGTCACGCAAACGGCTAACCCAAAAGTACTCAATTCGATATGACAGCCCTAAGGGAACTTCCTGGGAACCCGAAGCCATTCCTTTCATCACTCCAACATTGACATGTACATTCCCTTACAAGAAAATGTCGCAGATCCGATTACCATTCGCTACCATTTTCAAGCCCGCCCGCAGACAAATTAAAAATCCTTAAAGGCTACATAAGACCAAAACTCTCCAGAACCTTCTCGATAACTACTCATCTTACTTTGATATCTAATTCACAACTAATACGCATCGATCAACACAACTAATACGCATCGAGCAACCCGTGCTTCACCAGCATATGACCATCCAAAGAAATAACAAAGCAATATCTCGATCCAGAAACTGATACGGCCCATGACCCTACAATCCAATCGTCATTAGCAGACTCTACCACTTAGCTCAAAGCCATACCTCATCAACACCCCAAAGTACCATATCTTCATAGCATGTCCCGATCCCGCACAACTATTTAGCCGAATACTTCAAAAACTCATGCAATACTGGTCATAGAACGCCTCAAAGACTCTGCCAAGCGCTTACCCATCATTGCAATAGCCAAACAACTTCCCCAAATGCTCTAGAATGATCATATGTGCACTCCTCTGAATGGAAACCTCACACGAGACACACAATCCAAATGCATCATGCAAGAGATGGCCCACCGGTTATACTCAAATCGACACCTTGCCATGAACCCAACTTAGTCACAACACCCAGGCCACCAGCCAATCTTCCCAAATATGTGCTTACCAACCAGACATATGAATCCGCATCATACCAGAAATGATTGACTAGAAGATTTAACACTACATCTGCTTCTGAGGCTAGGCAACACATAGTAATCTATCTGCAGCATCACCGATCATCGGCACATAACGAATACTGAATGCACAATACCACATATGAGCGATTGGGAGGAGTCAAAGTCGTAGATTTTAAGCTGAAACAAGGCCGCACGATAAGGAAAGAAGAAAGGGAAATATTTTTCCTAAATGCCTTGTAGCCTCCCGAAGATAGGTATGGATGTCATCATACTAATCCGCAGGATTCTACTAGACACTTGCTCATGACTCGTAGAACCTACGAACCTAATGCTTTGATACCACTTTGTCAGACCAAAAAAACACTATTCGTGATGGCACCAAAGTCGATTCGCTAAGTAAGCCAACTAACAGAAAATGCAATCCAAAAGATATTATAGGAAAATAGTAAAGAATTAGGTGAACATTTACAAATTGACCTAAGACCTGGTAGTACGACTCATGAGCTTCTAAAACTTGGAATTTACGAAGCTGATACGAATAAATACACGTTCTATTGAAAAGTACATAAACAGAATAGCAAAACCTAAGCTACAAATGACAAGAGGCAGCTATATCCGAAAAGCGCGAACATCTTCAGAATCAGCACCCGACATTCACCAGCAACTCTACTCCAAAAATCCGTACACATCATACAGAAGTGTAGTATCAGTACAACCGACCCCATGTACTGGTAAGTATTTTGTCTAACCTCATCGAAGTAGTGACGAGGCTTTTTAGTTATAAGACATTTACTGATAAAACCTGCATTACGAATCAGCAATAGAACTATACCACAATATAATAGAGAAGAATACATGAAAACGCATACGCAAAATAATAATCGAGTATTAACAGAGATCACAATTTGGCATCCTCAAATACCTCAAGCAATCCTTTCCTTAGAATGAAACCAATAAACCACAACAGTCACACTACTAGAAACACATGGTTTTCCCACGATGAAATCAGTGAAAACTGGTGGGAAAATCGAGTTTTCACATCGCATTCTCACTGAAACGGATCACCAGGAGAGCGCTTGGTCGGAAATATCTTCCCAGAGAAGCGGTGGGAAATTTTCCACGGTTTTCCCTGAGAAGATTTAATAGGAAAAATAATGAAGTTTCCCACCAAAAATTAGTGGGCAATATTATTAGCAATTTTTATTAATTTTTATACATTAGCTAGAAAAGTTATGGAAAAAATGCATGGGGATTTGAAAATAAAGTATGAACTTTCCCACTGATAACCGTGCGAAATATACATGTTCCGGAAAATAAAGTATGAACTTTCCACCAATATCCCTGTGAAATATGTAAACTCTAAGAATAAAAGTATGAACTTTCCCATCGATATCAGTGGGATAAATGCAAATTCTGAAGAAAAAAGTATGAACTTTCCCACCGATATCAATGGGAAATATGCAAGTTCTGTTGTGACGAAGCTTCCCACGGATTCGGTGGTAATTTCGTGGGAAATCTGGAAATTATTTTTGTGCACAATGCTGCTTTTTATACTACACCACCTGCCAAAACAAAAAATTCAACCACCAACAACCTAAATACAATTAGACATTCACACACAAAATTCAACATCGTCCGATCCATTTCATTAATTAACAACCAACCAAAACTGAAAATAGTAGAAACCAATAATGCAACTAAACATAATATCCAACATCATAGTCCCACCCAAAAGAATATTAATAAAAGAAACAATCCTTATTCTTGTTGGAGCGCGATGGAGAACGTGGCAGAGGAAGTGCACCAGATGCAAAGAGAATGTTTAGCTGGGACTTGAGGCTTTCAACCTCACCAGTGACACGTGTAAATGCAGCATCCTTTCGCCTCATTTCTTCCTCCCTTCGCTTTGCGTCCTCCTCCCGCGCAGCCCTTTTTTGTGCATACAGCTGAGTGATCTCTGCTATTTTTCTATTCAATAGCTCAAACTCATCCTGATTAATCATGGACCTTGAGGAAGAAGAGCCACCAGATACGAAAGACCAACGACTAGAACTAAACTCTGATCCAAGGTCGTAAAATCTTCCCTTATGTACGCCGCCCGCCGCCTTAATCCACAAGTCCATGTAATTCTCCTGGGATGGTTGGATTGACGTTCCTTGATCATCAATTGGTTAGATATGAATGAACTCCTTCAAGGATTGTTTGAAAGTATTCTGCAAAAAAGTTACAACTATTATATGAACAAATTTAATTAATGAAAATTTTTAAAAAGTAATTTCGAATCTTACATATTTTGTCTCGGCTTGGCTCGATCAAATTTATCTTTTTTCCATGCTTTAGCTTATTCATATGTGTATACTCAAATATCTCATCTTGAGTAATTGGTCTTTTTAAAGACTTTTCCTGTTAAATAATACATGAAAAAAAATAAAATTAAAGTGCTATGTCCATGAAACTTCAAAAAGATCAGTTAATTGTTCTCCAATTAAAGTGCTATGGTCTATGAAACTTCAAAATTATACTGAAATTTTAACAACTTACCAATTAGTTGAAGATGCAATTTCTTTGTTTTACTGATTATTTAAGACTTGGGGTTTGACTTGATTTCATGCTTTGTCTACATTGATTATGGAAAACTATTTAACAGCAATTAGAGGGAAGAAAGTATTGGTATGAGTTCACCCAGTAGATAGCGGATGTCTAAGTGAGGGGATGCTAATAGAGTACTTGTATAAGTTCTTTCTTCCTTACCTAGGTTGAATTAGGTTTTAAAACGTCACGATTACCAGCTTCTTCCTCAACTTCAATAAAAATGTCACTGGGGAGACTAGTTGTGCAGAATCTATCGCCATAACAGCAAAAGCTAAAGTGTGAACTTTGAAAGACAGACACAAACTTTATATAGTAATTTATTCCCTGATGTAGGCTACGTGAAAAATATGCAACACACTCTGCTTTTGGTGGAACAAACTCTATTTCTTAGACCTAAATAGGTTTTGGTAATTGTAAGAAGTTATATGGTAAAGTTGTAGCCACAACATCAAATGTCAGAAAATGATCATGTACAACAATTTTCATCTCAACCCAATAAGCAAAGCAACTACACAAGCAAAGCGACTACGAGCATTCAGTATGTTGAAGCTCTTTGCACACCCAATCAAGACGTAATCTTCTATAGCCTATAAATCTTAATAGGTTAACAACTTTAGACTTGAGATACTACAGTGACTTAGAAAACATAAAAGATGCAAATGGAAATGTGAAACATTATCCTAATTTTCGTATGTATAGATTTTACAAGAATTTTAGAATCAGTCATGGACTAAGTAAAACAACAGTTGTGCCTTAATCTCAAGCAAGTTACAATCGGCTATTGAATCACCACTATCCATATTGCTAAATTCAAGCTCATCTCAGTCTAGTATTACACAAGTTAAAAATAATAATAATAATAATAATAAAGAACTAGATGTTCTTTATATTTTCTACTGGCAGCCGGAGGTAAAGTCCAAGCAGAAAAAATCGAATAAAAGAGGATCAAATAGTTATAGTCCTCCTAATCCTTTTCATGAGTAAATTTCACAGGTAAAATGGTATAACTCTACATGTTTTCGCAGTAAAACTGAGATGTATTACACATACACACTTAACCAAGAGGAGAACAAAATTTTTCTTCAGACGGCACTTGCTCGAATGTGTAAAGTTTGTGATAAATCCAATTACAGGTTTCAAGCAGCTAAATTGTGGGCTGTGGCTATTATAATTTGGCAATCAATTGAAATGGGAAATATCACTGCGAAGTTTTTGGTATGTGCAACAGGAAAGAATCTAATGTCATTTTTTTCTTATTTTTCCCTTTTAAATGAGGTCTAATTCCAAACTCATTATGAGTTTTAAGCATTAGACTTCAAGTGGCAGTTCCATCTACGTTAACCTTCTAAGGGTATTTCCATTTCTCAGCATATACTACTCAATAACAATGTTGTCTCGTAGGTCAAACTAGACCAAACATGATGAAAGGTAAAGAAGAGGTTCAGAGATCACTTGCTCGAATATGAAAAGTTTGTGATAAAAATGATATATATTAAGCCAATTTTCATTTAATCTGCTAACAAGTAATCAGATTTCAACACAGGCTACATATTAACAAATCAGTCAAGATAAATTGGACTGCATCACTTATCATTAGTGATAGAAACAAAATTTCAGGGGCATATTGCAAAAAAGAACCCCCTTCCCCTCTTTGTACTGTGTCTATGCACAACACACACAGAGCCTATGAAGAAAACTCTTTGGAAGATGTTCAACGGTTAATTCAAAAGAAAAAGAAAAGTTAAACAAGAGGAGCACTGAAAATTAAAAGTGCGCAAAGTTAAAATCAAGAATCTGCAAACGTGTTGAAACCTAAAAGCTTAACCCGAATTTTCCGGACAAAAAGCCATGAAATTGGATGGAACTGACACCATATCAGCACATAAATATTGTCATGCCGCAACTACACACACACACACACACAAAAAAAAAAGGTAGATTTCCAGGCATGGAGGAACCCTAGATTTTTAGGCATTTAGGGTAAAATCAGAAAATGGAGAAAGAAAGGGGGTGAGAGAGAGAGAGAGAGAGAGAGAGAGAGAGAGAGAGAGAGGCCTTACCGATTTTGCATGATCTTAGTGAAAGCTCACTGATTTCTAAAAATGGGGGAAAGGTCTGCGAAGAGAATGAGAGAGAAAGAGAAGAATTAGAATGAAAAAGAGAAGAAAAATAAGAGGTATACCTAATGTAATAGGAAATACTTTCCCATCGATTCATTGGGTAAATTTATGAGAATTGTCTTATATTAATTCAATTGTTTTGGTGAAATAATTTTTAAGCTCGCGGGTTTTTGGACCAAATATAAGATTCAAAATTTTAAGCTTCTAACTGCCAGTGGGAATATAAAAATAATTTTTCATGTTAGTTCCCACCGTTTCACTGGGTAGATTTTAATAATTTTACTTTTAATGACATCCCCACAGATTCGGTGGGAAACAAATTACCCATTTTTTTGCGCCAACTAGTTCCCACCTATAGTCTGTGGGAACGTTTTCAAAAAAAAGGTAAAAGAAAACTTTTTCAATTCCCACTAAATTTTTTTACATTTCAATGGGACTACACTATTAATATATCTGTGGAAAATTTCCCTGGGAAATTTGCATTTTTCTAGTAGTGTCAATTCTTAACTTCCACAGCATTAGGGATGTACCTAGATATCAAGTCAATTGTACGGCAACACCCTTTATGTTTTTATCTCATCCTCACCCAATATACGTATAACAAAACCAAACAGATGACAGAAATACCGAGCACATGAATTACAAGGTAGGAAATACGCAATTAATAATAATGGACAAGGACAACCATATGGGCAACAGTAGAAGACTAAGCAGAAAGCATGTGAATGATGATAGAAATTGGAAATAATGAATATCAGCTTCAACTAACTAGCATGGTGAAGTCCTAAATACAGGTATAACAAATAAGAAGGAAACACATGATCTTTACAAGTTAACAAGTAGAGGCATGAATGACTAACATAGAAAAAAAGGCTTGTACTACAGTGCAACTGAATAAATACAACGTGAGTGTAATTATAAAAGCGAGGAAACAGGCATGATATTTGAAAGTTAAAAAAACAGAAGATATGAGCGATACAACAACAATTGATATAGAGATAAATGACAGAACAATAGCAACAAGTCACATCAGATCTGAGATTGCGACAATAACAGCTCAAGGTAAAGACATGAACATATACACGGGAAAACAGATATCACAATATAATGCATGTCCCTCAACCTCGCCTGTACGGAAACACCCATCGTGCCATGACCTCACAATGGTATAAAAACATAACAGTATAAATAAAATGGCACGGCATCACCCTTCGTGCTTTACACTCTCATAACATGGCACGTCATCACCATTCGTGCTTTTACTCTCAATAATTGGCACGGCATCACCCTTAATGCTTTTACTCTTAATAATATCGCACGGAATCACTCTTCGTGCTTTTACTCTCAATAATATGACACGGCATCACCCTTCGTTCTTTACACTCTCCCTCACATGATAATCTATAAACAATGGCACTACATCACCCTTCGTGCTTTACACTCTTCCGTACCAAGCATATGTATATCAATGACAACAAGGCAGGAAGCATAAATAACATCAAGGAGAGTGTTTTAACGGATATTCCAAGCAAATCCCAATCACAAATTTTCAAGTCAACAATGATTCAACAACCCTCAAGATCCATATTATTCAAATACTTCCATAAATCTTACAAATGATCCACAACACAAGTATAGAGTCTAGTATCTCAAGAATATCGGCCGTAGTATTGTAGTAATGATTTCGCATAGAGATGACCGAATTAGACACATCAATGTATTCTCAAAATTTTTGTCACGTTTAATCAAGTTATAATAAGCTAAGCCATGATTTCTATCATTTAATATTGTCTCCTTAGTATCTAAGAGTCAAGTAAGGCATGAAGTAGGAGGTCACAAAATCCTACAAACATGAATGAAACATAATCCAACCCCCCCCCCCCCCCCCCCCATGCCTCCCCGAGCATGATTAACCCTGGCACATACATATACACTCGTCACCTCTTATATGTATCACCCCGCATGCAGCAAACAATGACAAATATCAAGAAAAATTCCCTCAACAATGTTAGGCAAAATACTTAGTTCGAACAAGCCAATTACAATACCGAGCAAGCCAAGCGATGCTCCAAAAATGCCATCACACGCGTAGTGACTTCGAAATGGCTCAAAACTAGCCAAAATCAACTCTAAACATCAAATAAAGCCCAAGGAATTAATTCCAAATAATAAATATGGAATCCTAAATCGAATTCCAAATCCGACCAAAAATCACACCTGGTCCCACACCTCAAAACCCAACAAAACTCACAAAATCTGACAACCCATTCAATTATGAGTCCAACCATACTAGTTTCACACAATTCCGACTCCAACTCAATGTTCAAAACTCAAAAATTCATATTATGAAACTTTAGGCCAAAACCCCCAATGTTCTGTTCAAAATTCATCAACCAAAAGCTAAAATCAAAGATAGATTCATGGAATATAACCTAAAACGAGTAGAGAATACTAACCACAATTCATAGGGTGAAAATCGCCTAAAATATTGCCCAATTCCGAGCTCCCCAACTCAAAATATGTTAATGAACAAAACCCTCATTTTAACACTATTCTGCCTCATTTCTTGTGCCAAATGATCTCGAAACTCGCTTTTAATGCCTCAAATGGATTCCTTCTCGAATTCTAGTCAAGTTAGACTCTTGAATCACTACATTTGACCTTATATTGAAAGAGATGTGTTGGTTTCAATATTTGAAAATAGTGCAGATTTTTAAATACGAAGTCAGTGACAATTTCGTAATTAATCTGAAAAATCTGGCAACCCAATTCTTAGTAGAATGACCTTATACTCCTCATACGACACCAAAATTCGATGACTTCTTTTTATATGGCTCCATAATTATGATACGGATCTAATGCTTCAATAAAAATAGAAATTGGAGCTCATTTGCTTAATGTATTAACGTTTATGCTTGAAGAAACAACGTCGAAACATTAAAAAAATGAGCGCTACACAACCTAAACTTATCTGAAACTCACCTGAGCCCCTCGGGACCACGTCCAAACATACCAACAAGTCCCATAACATAACACCGACTTACTCGAAGCCTCAGAACACACATATCAACGTTGAAACGACGAATCACACCTCAATCCAAAAATCAATGAACTTCAAACTTCAAACTTTCACAACCGATGCCGAAACCCATCAAATCACGTCCGATTGACCTCAAATTTTGCACACAAGTCATATTTGACATTACGGGCCTGCTCCAACTTCCCAAATTGAAATCTGACCCCAATATCAAAAAGTTCGCTCTCGATCAAACTTTCCAACAAATCCAACTTTCGCCATTTCGAGCCAAATTCAACTACGGACCTTTAAATCATAATCTAGACACGCTTCTGAGTCAAAAATCACCCAACGGAGCTAACGGAACCATCAAAATTCCAATCCGAGGTCAAATACTAAAAAGTTAAACTCGATCAACTCTTTCAAATTTAAAGCTCCCTAGTTGAGAATCATTCTTCCAAATCAGTCCCGAATAACATGTAAATGAAAATCGACGATTCACAAAAGTCAAAATACATCATACGGAGCTACTCCTGCCCGTAAACTATCGAGCGAAGTGCATATATATATATATGGAAAATGATCATGAGGGAGAGAGAATAAAGATGGGAAATGATTGATCCCTTATTCAATTCCTAATATTAAGGTATACTGATTTAATTCCGAAAATTTATATAATTGGCAAAATATATAAGCGTGTGTAATTAAATTGAAACTTCAGCAGGGGGATAATAAAGTTTCAAATAGTGTATAGGAAGGTAAAAATCCATAAATACTATGTGTGTGGATAAGTGAGCCCAATTGTAACGACCCGACCGGTCATTTTACTTTTTAGAACCCCGTTCCCCTAAATAAAACTTTACGCGCTTGCTTTAGCTAATCTAAGACTTGCGGGGGTGGTTGGTTCGGGATTTGGAAGGGTCTGGGTTTATATAAGCCCACTTGAATCCTTAAGATTTCTTAAAAGGCCAAGTTTGACTTTGGTCAACATTTCTAGCAAACGAACACGGATCTGTGTTTTGACGGTCCCGAAGGGTCCGTAAGAAAATATGGGACCTGGGTGTATGCCCGGAATCGAATTCCGAGGTACCTAGCCCAAGAAATGAATTTTTATTAGAAATTGTTAAAACTGAAATTTCAAGGATTTAAAGAAACTAAATAATGACTGATCTCACAGGTCCAATATAACATTTAAGACCTTCCCTCAAAATTTTGTGTCAATGCGAGTAGTCTAAGTACGTTTCGGCTCGTTAGAAGTGAATTAAGAATTTGAAAGTTCATAAGTTTGATTCAATTGGTTTTAGGGGGTGATTCTTAGATTTAGCGTTGTTTCGGGTGATCCGAAGGTTCGAGCAAGTCCGTTTCATGATTTCAGACTTATCGGTATGCTCGGGCGGGGCCCGGGAGCCCCGAGAGTCAATCGGACGAGGCTCGAGTGAAGTTGGAAAAATTGAGAAGTGCTGAAGCTTCAGTTGCTGACATAACCGCACCTGCGGTTGGTCAGCCGCAGGTGCGAGACCGCAGCTGTGGTCAACCCATGGCAGATGCGGCCCAGGGCTTGCCAGGCCAAACCGCAGAAGTGGCTCTTCAGCCGTAGTAGCGGCTTCAAGACCGCAGAAGCGGTCCCAGCCCGCTTGGCCAATTCCGCAGATACGGCCTCCCTATCGCAGATGCGGTCCCCTGACCGCAGATGCGGAAACCCCTGAAGCAGTGAGCTTCATTTAATACAGGCTCCAGCCATTTTCAACCATTTGGCACTCATGTATTGAGTGATTTTGGAGCGTTTGAGGGGGGATTTCCACATTGCATATTGAGGTAAGTTCATCCCCCTTATTTCTAAGTTTAATACTCGAGTTTTGGGTAGATTAACACCTAAATATTAGGAGAAATCAAGGGGTTAGAGCAAAACCTAGGGTTTTGATAAAACTTAGATTTTACCGCAAAATTGGCTATGAAACGAAGTAGAAATCATATATTATTGATCCTTAGGTTCCAAGGA